TGCAGGGGAGGACGAACAGTTTTGAGAAGGTGTGAGGTTTGGGATGGAGTGTTAGGAGTTAGGTGGGGAGGGGGTTTGAGATTGTGAGGAGTTTGAGGTTGGACGGTTCGGAGTTAGGAGGAGGATGTGGCACGCTTGCGAAATTGCCGAGCCTGAAAGGGCATATGACAGACAGGAGCTCAACGAGAAACGAAGTTAGCAGCCTTGGAAGCACGAGGCTTCTTGGAAGGCCCACTGCCCTCCCTCAGAAAAAAAATACCCCGGCAAAGCAACCTAACAGCGATGTGTAGGAGCATATCTGGAAGCATTCCCCTTAAGATTCACATGATAATCCAGTTGTAGAGTTCTGCTGTTCTCGCAGTCGCAGTCGCATTCGCGATGAAAGTCGCAGTGGTAACGGCAGTCGCAGTCACAGCCTCAGCCTCAGCCTGCCTCAGCCTCAGCCTCAGCCTGCCTCAGCCTCAGCCTGCATCAGCCTCAGCCTCAGCCTCAGCCTGCCTCAGCCTCAGCCTCAGCCTGCTTCAGCCTCAGCCTCAGTCTGCCTTCAGCCTCGGCCTCAGCCTCAGCCTGCCTCAGCCTCAGCCTGCATCAGCCTCAGCCTCAGCCTCAGCCTGCCTCAGCATCAGCCTGCCTCAGCCTCAGCCTCAGCCTGCCTCTGCCTCAGCCTCAGCCTGCCTCAGCCTCAGCCTCAGTCTGCTGCCTTCAGCCTCAGGCCTCAGCCTCAGCCTGCCTCAGCCTCAGCCTGCATCAGCCTCAGCCTCAGCCTCGGCCTGCCTCAGCCTCAGCCTGCCTCAGCCTCAGCCTCAGCCTGCCTCAGCGTCAGCCTCAGCCTGCTTCAGCCTCGGCCTCAGTCTGCCTTCAGCCTCGGCCTCAGCCTCAGCCTGCCTCAGCCTCAGTCTGCATCAGCCTGAGCCTCAGCCTCAGCCTGCCTCAGCGTCAGCCTGCTTCAGCCTCAGCCTCAGCCTCAGCCTGCTTCAGCCTGAGCCTCAGTCTGCCTTCAGCCTCGGCCTCAGCCTCAGCCTGCCTCAGCCTCAGCTTGTCTCAGCCTCAGCCTCAGCCTCAGCATCAGCCTGCCTCAGCCTCAGCCTCAGCCTGCCTCAGCCTCAGCCTCAGCCTGAGGCTCAGCTGAGGCTGAGGCAGAGGCAGGCTGATACGGCCCCGAGACGGCCCTAGAGCCTCCCAAGACGGCCCAAGAAGGTCCCAAGAAGGTCCCAAAAGGGGCCCAAGAGAGGGAACGCGAACCGAAAAATCAAGCTCTCCGCCCCGAGATGCCCCCAAGAGGCCCCAAGATGCCCCCAGGAAGCCCCCAAGAGGCCCCAAGAGGCCCCCAAGAGGCCCGAGAGGCCCCGAAGAAACCCAAAAGAGGCTCCAAGAGGCCCCAAGACGGCACCCAAAAGGCTTCACAACTCTAAGAGGCACCCGAAGACGTGCCAAGAAGGTCCCATGACGACTTCCAGAAGGAGTCCAGGATGCTCCGAGGAGGCCCCAAGAGACCCCCAAGAGAGCCCAAGAGGTCTCCAAGAGGCCCCCAAGCGACCTCAAGCATCCAGGAGGCCGGAAAGAGGCACACAAGAGCCCAGCGGTCCAGGAGGGGGCTGAACGAACATTTCCAGCCCTGGGCTCCCAGAAGCCCAACAGGAACCCCCACGTAACTCGCAAGACCCCCCCCCGACGCCTCCCGAGACGCCCAAAAGGTTTCCCAGACAGCCCCAGATGCAACAAAAAATTATCCCGGCAAAGCAACCTAACAGCGATGTGTAGGAGCATATCTGGAAGCATTCCCCTTAAGATTCAAATGAGAATCCAGTTGTAGAATTGTGCTGTTCTCGCAGTCGTAGTCGCATTCGCGATGACAGTCGCAGTGGCAACGGCAGTCACAGACACAGCCTCAGCCTCAGCCTGCCTCAGCCTCAGCCTCAGCCTGCCTCAGCCTCAGCCTCAGCCTCAGCCTCAGCCTCAGCCTCAGCCTCAGCCTCAGCCTCAGCCTCAGTCAGCCTCAGCCTCAGTCTGCCTTCAGCCTCGGCCTCAGCCTCAGCCTGCCTCAGCCTCAGCCTCAGCATCAGCCTGCCTCAGCCTCAGCCTCAGCCTGCCTCAGCATTCAAAATGTGGCCTGGGAATGGAATTCTGGGAACTCGAAGAACACGAAGTGGCCTACAGTTGGCTCCGGGCATTCAAATTCATGCCCAGGAATGGAGTTCTGGGAACTCGAAGACCACGAAGTGGCCTACAGTTGGCTCCGGGCATCCAAAATGTGGCCCGGGAATGGAGTTCTGGGAACTCGAAGACCACGAAATGGCCTACAGTTGGCTCCGGGCCAAAATGTGGCCCGGGAATGGAGTTCTGGGAACTCGAAGACCACGAAGTGGCCTACAGTTGGCTCCGGGCATCCAAAATGTGGCCCGGGAATGGAGTTCTGGGAACTCGAAGACCACGAAGTGGCCTACAGTTGGCTCCGGGCATTCAAAATGTGGCCCGGGAATGGAGTTCTGGGGACTCGAAGACCACGAAGTGTGTGACTGTTGCATCCGGTTATTCAGAATGTGGCCTGGGAATGGAGTTCTGGGAAGTCGAAGAGCACGAAGTGTGTGACTGTTGGTGAAAAACGAGCCCGGCACAGGCCCGGCCGGCAACTCCCAACGCCTGCCCGGACCCCCCTGTGGAGTGATCTGTGAGATCTTTTGAGTCAACTAGAAACCTATCAGTCTACGCTGCTAGGTAATGATACCGGAGAAAAGCCCCAATCAGATTTTTGTTAGGGCTATAGGGCTATTGGGCTATAGGGCTATACGGCTATCGGGCTGTAGGGCTATCGGGCTATAGGGCTATAGGACTGTGACCTATAGGGCCATAGGGCTATAGGGCTATGGGGCTATAGAGCTATATGGGCTATGGGGCTATAGGGATATAAGGCTATTAGGGCTATAGGGATATAAGGCTATAGGGCTACAGGGCTATAGGGCTATACGGCTATAGGGCTATAGGGCTACTGGGCTATTGGGCACCCCCGGGCACCCGGGCACCCCCGGGCACCCGGGCACCCCCAGGCACCCGGGCACCCGGGCACCTTGGCCCGGCCACCGAAATCGGCCACCCGGGCACCCCCGGGCACCGGGGCACCCGGCCCCGGCCACCGAAATCGGCCGCTCACCTCACCTCAGCTTTATATCCGCTAGGACCCCTACAGAAGCAAGCTCTGATTGGGGAACTGCGTTTCCCAGACAGCCCCTGATGCAACCAAAAAACTGCAATGCCCAGGGTTGCGTTTGGACAATCATTTCAAGACAAAGCCAGCCTTGGCCACGAGGAGCGCATCGGAGGCACAAAGGAGGGTCGTCCGGTTGCAGACCGGACCGGGCCGCAACCAGGCCCGGGGGCCCAGGGGCCCTGCAGGGGCCACGACCTCTACCACAAATGTGTGGTCCGGGGGCCCGGCCAGACCTTGAGGGGCCCAACATCGCATCGGAGGGCGGTTCGATGAGCGTCACGGCGGCCCCAGCCAGCCGCCCACCACCCTGAAGACGGCTTTGACGGATCGGATCTCGGGACGTCTCCATCGGCCCCAGAGGCTTCGAAGACGCCTCGTAACCCGTGCAATTTGCCCCACGAGGGCCCCGAGAAGCAAAAATATATCCATTCCTTCCGTAAAACGTATATGTTTACCGTACTCGTGATTTTCGTCTTCGCGCCATCCTTGACGACCTCAGGGGTCCCTAAGATTGCCCCTACACGGCCCAAGAGGCCCCCCAGAAGGCGCCAAGACGGCCCAAGAGGGTCCCAGGCGGGTCCCAGAGGCACAGAGGGCTCCTAGAGAAGCACAAGATAGGGCAATCCAACTGGAATTGCCAGCCCCACGCCCCAAGAGGGCGCCCGAGACCCCCACGAGGCCCCAAGCAGCCAACACGAGGCCTCCAAGACGCCTCATAACCCGTGCAATTTGACCTCCCAGAGGGCCCCGAGAGGCAAAGTTGGCCCCGTTCTCTTCGGAAAACGTACATGTCAACCGGATTCGTGTTTTTCGTCTTCGCACCGAGCTTGTCCCCAAGAGGCCCCCAAGCAGACCCCAAGGGGCTTCCAATGTATGTATTTATGTATGCATGTCTGTATGTATGTATGGATGGATGGATGGATGAACGGATGGATGGATGGATGGATGGATGGATACGGATGGGGATGGATATGTATATGTATTTGCATATGTATATGTATGTGTATATGTGTACCTGTATGTCTATGTATATGTATATGCACATGTATATGTATATGCGTATGTACATGTATATATAAATGTATATGTATTTGCATATGCATCTTCATAGGCATGTTTGTATATATATATATATATGAATATGTATATGTACATGTCTATGTACATGTATATGTACAAGTATATATGTATGCACATGTTGATGTACATGTACTTGTATAGGTATACATACATATATACATATATATATATATATATATATATATATACACATGTGCATCAACATGTAATGCACGTGACTATATTCCCTTTTCTATATTTTTACAATCCGGGGGGATGGGACCCCCCCCCCCCCGAAAATCGGACCCCCGGGATCTGGCGCTTTTGGGGCCCCCTGGACGCCTTGCAAGGGGTCCCCCGGGCCTTCCAGGCCTCCTGGACGCCCCTGCCGGGCCTTGCCAGCGGGCCCAAAGCGGTCAGGAGGGCGGCCAAACGGTCCCGCGAGAGCCCCACGCGGCCCCAGACAGCCCCAAGACGCCCGAAGACGACCCAAAGAAGACCCCCAAGAGGTCCTCCAACTGTAAAAAAACAACACTTTCCTTTCCTTTCCTTTTTTTGTTTAAAAAAGAAGGAATTTTTGGAGATTCGGTTCCTCGGTATTCCGTGCGTCCGAGTCCGCCGAAGAGGCCCCAAAAATCCTCTCACAACGGTGTCAAAGGGCTTCCAGACAGTCCAAAAGAGCCCCAATATGGTCCAACAGGGCCGCAAGATGGCCCCAAGAGAGCCCCGCTGACAGCCCCAGATGGCCCCAAGACGCCTCCCGAAGCACTTCCGTAGCCATTTTGGCTCAAGCCATCCTGGCTTAAGCAATTGGCTCTTCAGGGGGCTCTGGCTGAAGAGTGCAAGTGCTTCCCAGAGATGCCAATCACCACGCGGTTCTGGACGCTTTTCGGCTTGTGCTGCTTCACTGCCTGCTTCCGACTAGCCTTCAGCTGCCCGCCTACGAAGTCACTGCTGCACATCAGCAATTCGCCTCAGTTTTATCTCGACGAGTGCACTCAGCATATTGGGGGAGGGGGGTTAGAGCCTGGTTCTGAACAGTGGACTCTGAAGTGAGACTTCACCCTCGGTCCTGGTAAGAGGATTGATAATAGAAAAGGCACGCCTCTTCCAACGCCTGACGATGGCTTCTGGTTGAAGTCGGCACACCTTGTGGTTACAGAGAAGACGGGTACCCAGCTTCTTGCGTGGCCCCCCATTCACGTGCATCACATCGTGTGCAGGTCCAATTTCGCAGACATGTGGTATGAGCAGGAGGTGTTTGAGCACCAGGCTGTTTTTCTTCACGCGGCTGGCTCTCTGGGCATGAACGAGTATCTCAAGCGCTACGAATTATTGAATGAGACGGACGGTTGGGCACAGTATTTCCCCGCTCAGACCAAAATCAATTGTGGATGGCGCGTGGATGATGATCGATTGGTGGGGGACTTTGAGGAATACAAGCTAGTTCTTAAAATGGATGTTGTCATTGATGCTGATAGACGTTACGGTTTCCGGCCGCTCAGCAGCTTTTTTTGGGAAGGCACTACTACAGGGCAGATAGGGTACAATTTGCCAACCGGAACCACTACAGTCTTCTCGAAAGAATACGAAGCACCAGCGGCAGGCTCGTTTGATCCATACGGTTTTTCTGCTCACACGCATCCAGGAGGGAAGTCACTTAAGTTCATCGCGAAACGCTTGGGTGGCCAATCTTTTGCTACGCCTCAGAGCCTCTTCACACTGGAGTTTCGCTCGTTGACTGTGGAACCAGGGTCGCAAAGCCAGGAGCTGAATGTGAAACCCGGCGATTACTTACGACTACCTACTCTGGACTGGAGCGAAATAGGATTGAAATGGTTTATTGGCAGCATTTCCGCGTCAGGAGTCGACAGCAACAGACATTGTGCGTTTCAAAAGGGAGACATATTTTACTTGGAGGCGGTTCATGATATTCATGATGTCAAAAAGGGGGTGAAGGACATGATGTCGCTGAAGGGGGTTGTGCTTTGGGATGACCCGCCACAGTTGACCTTTGCCCCAGGAGTGTGGAGTTTTTCAGGGTTCTTGCGCAACCAGCTATTTGGTCAGGTCTTCGCTCCTCATGATCTGCTCGCCCAAATCCCGCAAAAGGTCGACCAGACCGCAATGCTTGAGTTGCACTCGAGATGGCCGCTGTTGTTTTGTCATCCAGACAGAGCTGCCGACGCAAAGTACGTTCGTTGCCATCGTAACACTGTTGATCAGATATTGCTTAAATATGCTTCGGTAAACGACATCGACACGGCAATGCTTGCAAAAGTGCACAAGTCTTGCGACCGTTTCTGATCCTGGGGCGCCTTCGATGCTGTGTGGCAGCCAGGCTACCGCTGCTGCACCGCGCTTGCCTTTGCGCAACAAGCGGTACGCCCCAGAAGCTCCTCAGATGCCGTCGCGCGCCTGTGCTTGATAGCGTTGTCCAAGATCGTCCAGCGCATTCGTAGCGTGGCTCGGGCGTGTGCATTGGCCAAGTACTCATTCTGGCTGGCCAGCCTCGCCTGCCGCATTCTAATTTGTCTTTTTGCTTGATCAGCGCGCGTTTGGTGCGTTGATTGGCGGTTGGCGCGTATCTGGCGAACACGCTGCGCCGCCGACAAAAAAAAGAGAGAACCCCAAGACAAACAAGATAGGGGGCTGTGCACTCGGGAAAGGGGCTTCTGCGGGTTCGCGGGATTCGGTTCGTCTTCCTTTCGGGCTCCTCGTGCGCTTTCACTACGTGCAAGTCCCTCGGCAACCGCTGCGTGCCCACTTGCCCGAAGTGCAAAGGGGGCAGGCAGGACCCAGGACGTCAAGCACTGGGCGGCGGACTGCCCCTACAGCCGCTGGCGCGCACGAGTCGGCGCCAGCCCCCGGTCAATGGACGCTCCGTTGGGTACACGCATGGTTATGCACATGCGTTTCTTTTCTTCAGCGCCATTGTCCGGGGCGAGAGTTTTAATTCATGCGCCTGCCAGGCCGTTCTCGGCGCATGTCCTTTCTTTTCTTCCGCCGCGTGCCTGTGTTTCAAGCAGGCGCGCGCCCCGGGCAGGCCCCCGCGACCCAGTCCGAGGCCGCGCCCGCTGCACGCCTTGAAAAAAAAAAAGACGCCTCCCGAAGCACTCCAAATCGTGACCCGGTCGTTCAGGGAGACCGTGGTTGGTAGCAAGGTGGCCGCAAGAAGCCCCCAGAGGCCCCCAAAAGGCGCCCAGGAGGCCCCCAGAGGTCCCCAAAAAGCTTTT